TGACAAAGGTTGTGAGTTGATGAAATTTGTTTTGTAAAATAAATATTTATTGGTAATCAGAAAAAGAGGTAAATTCTGTTGGTACTTCGACATATATTCACAATTATATTTGTCAAATGTGTTTGTTAATCAAACATTAATTATTGAAAGTAAGATTTTTATTAATTAGCTTCATCATCTCTTTAAGTTGTTAGTGGGAAATTAATGCACATCTATTGTGTTGGGAAAAGACAATGGCTGTTTTGCAACTTTTGAAGCTGAAAGTACCATTCAGTCAATCATTGCTTAAAATAGACTTAGAAAAATATATACTATCTATTTATTAAGGAACAGATATTGTTTATATATATATATATATATATATATATGTGTGTGTGTGTGTTTTGAACAATAAAAAATTTTGAGAAATTAAAAAAATAAAATTTTCAGAGACACTAGAATGTGTATTAATATTCTTTGTTTTATTATTTCAATTAGATTCCTTGACTAGTTTTGGCCAGCATGGCCATCATCAGGAGAATAAAACAATTCTGCTTGTTAGTAGCAGTGAACTACAGGAATGAATGACTTTATGAAGAAAATGAACTTTATCTATAGTTCTTGTTTGTTTTTTTATTTTTTTTATCGCTAATTTTGGTCAGTCCTCGTGTTGGTCAAACAGTCTTTTTTAAGTTATTATTTAAGATAGAGACTGGATAGATTCATGCTCCGCTGTGTATGTATGTATGTATGTGTATATATATATATATATATATATATATATAAGCATAGATATGTATAGGGTGTGTGCAAAGATTCACCATGCTTTATATGAAAACTAGAGACTAAACACATATTTGATAATCTTTCACAGGAAGGTTTTGCACACAACTTGTTTATATTTAGGTAATCTGGCTCACAAACATATCTTAAAATTACTGCAGGTTTTTAAATTCCATTTTTTTGATTGATAGGAAATGATCCAAAGAAAGACTTTTCCTTAAATCTTTTTTTTCCAGAACATTCATTTTTTTTTTTTATTGCTCTGGGACATACACAGCATCTCGACAAACATGATCAAAACCAAAACTTATCAAGAAAAGTCTGTTTATTTAGTGGCATATCAACTCCTTATGGGTCATTTAATGCCAAAATTTCTTGGGAGCATTAGTAATATTCTTTACAAAAATGTATTACTAGTATTTTTACTATAAAAAAAGTATTTTTATACTTTCATAGTGTTTTGACCCTAGTTTGGTGGTTCACTATTTGTCCATAGCTGGGACCCTAACAGATCCTACCACCTCATGTGATGGTGGACCTGGGAACAACAGCATTCCAAAGGTGGTTCTATGCTCCTCAAAACCTTCAGATCAAAAGCCTTGCTGCCAGATGTAGTTTATCCTCATAAATCAAGAAAAGTATGATCATTGCACTTTGGTAGTGGTAAAAAAGAATATATTTGTATTTTTTGCCATATAAAATTTTATAAGTTAATCTTTTGTTTACTGTTTGAGCAGAATGCTGTATAAAAAAAAAGAAAAGTATATTTAACATGTTCACTTTAAAGATGTTTACATTTTTCATTTTATTCACATACATAGGTCGTTCAACAGTGTATCTACTTCTACTACTGACTAATTCTTTAATAAAATCTATTACACAGTACTTACAGTGTTACCTTCGATTATAAGAATCTTCAGAAACTTTCTATAAGTGAACACTGTAGCAACATCACATTTTATTATTCTAAGTCAACCAAACAAGCATTACTAGCTGTTGAAAAGTTGGGTTTTCACCAAAGCAGAAAAGAAACCAACTTAAAGATTAAAATGTATTGGGAAAAATTACTGCAACAAGGGTTTGCAAGAAAAAATTGCTTCAAGACAGAGGGGAATAAAAGAAAACTTCAAGAATAAATTATTTTTTTGCAGTCTTTTTTGTTCTTGCTACTTAACAATACTTATTTATTTATACATCCTAAGGGATGTACGGAACAGTAATAATTTTGTGAACATCCTTAAAGGTAGATTAAAGAAAGGAAGGAAAGTCAAAGATGACAGTGGAAAAATATTGAAATTAAGGAAGAAGGAAAATAATAATTAGAGTGATTGCAGTCAATACTCCGTATACAAAAAAAACTGGAGTGAAGAAGAAAGGAAGAAATAGATAAAGAAAGATGAACAAATAGAAAATGAAAAATAGAAAGAAAAGGCGAAAGGGAAAGAAAAGGCGAAAGGGAAAGAAAAGGCGAAAGGGAAAGAAAAGGCGAAAGGGAAAGAAAAGGCGAAAGGGAAAGAAAAGGCGAAAGGGAAAGAAAAGGCGAAAGGGAAAGAAAAGGCGAAAAAAGGGAAAGAAAAAAACGCGAAAAAGGAAAGAAAAGGCGAAAGGGAAAGAAAGAAATAAAAAGAAGAAACTAGGAAAAAAGAACAAAAAAAAAGAAGTATAACAAAAAATCTAAATATGCAAATTTATAACAGTAAAAACATCTAAAACCAAACAATGAATGAACGCAGGCAGAAAGAAATGACAAAAAAAAAAACTCACAAGATTAAGTTTAGCTCCTCAAACAAAATATGAAATTTGTTAACTATTCAAGGAGACCAATGAATAATATTATCACACTATATTGTATTCATTTATTTTTTAAGTAACAATGCAGTTTCATAAATATAAAGTGTTAATCTTAATTTTATATCTTAAATTATTGTCTTCACACTTTCTGCATTCTGTGACTGAAAGAAATGCCAAACAAATATTTTCTGTAATGAAAAATTCAACCACTTTAGAATTTCAATCTAGTTAGGACATATATTACTTGTAAAATGATATTCATAAAGGTAAACTAATTTTTATCCTCAATAAGATTCTAGGTCAAAGAATACTTATAATATTACGACTGTCAATAAAGCTCTGGTTATTGTAATGATTATTGGTACAAAGTGAAACTGGTGAGCTAAGTATAAATTCAGACTGGCTCTGTTTCATTCACTTTGTACACTAATATCCTTGGAAAAGGCATGAATGTGTCCTGCTCCAACTATGGAAGAAATAGGAGAGCAGACTAAGCTCTCTACCCTTAGGTTGCAGCCAGTCTAGGAAAAGAAAAACTGAATTTAAACTGGTGCTGTAAAAATGCTACAAAGACATTCCAATGGTAGGCCTTGCTGTTCACTACAATTGGTACTTCACTAATCATTCTGGACTTCATATCATCACTGAATACTGGAGAAGATGTTTAGAGGGTGAGTGTGCTACTGTATAATTCCTACTTTTTTCTTAGGGGATCATTGCTCTCCACATCTTTGTCTCTATCACTCTTCTAAATATAATTTACTATCTCCCTTTTTCAGTGTTCTGTATTCCACCCACACAAACTCATTAAGTAGCTTACTTATTAGTTTCTTCTGTTTTTTGTTTTTTTTTGTCTTCAGTATATTTATGAGCATTATTCCAATTATGGGTTCAAAAACTTTTGGCTGTCTCTTTCTGTGTCTAGCTAGGCAGTTAGTCTGAAGTTATTATGCAACTTTAATAACTTGAATTTGCTTTGAAAAGTGTGTCAAATTTTAAACGTTTAATTTAGACATAAAAAAAAGCTGGGGGTTAAATTTTTAGGTATTTTCAACTTGTTTTATCAAAGTTATTTGATTTATTCTAAAAATTGCAGTCTAAATTTATTATGCAAAACCAGAAAAATCACTTTTTACTTCAATAAGAAGGTAATAAAATCAGCAACTGATCAACACCAATTATAGAACAAATAACAAACACATACAAGTCTTTGAAGCATTTACATCTTAATATAGTGACCTGTCTTCTCAATAACATCCAGCAATCTATTATCCATTGACTTTCTTAAATTTATTTTTTAATCATTTCCCACAGAAACATATTGAGGTTAGTAGGTTTGATTTTTTCTACAAAAAGAAATGTTGGTTTTTATTATGAAATATTGTTTAGGTCAAAGTTCATTATATTCTTTGAACAAGATGCAGGGGTTGATTCAGCTATTAATATCTGCAAATTCAGCACTCTTTCTATTGAATTTATGAATGAATACAAGCATATAATATTAAGGTTCAGTTTTACCAATTATGTGATTACACAAATATTCTTACTCAATGGATATTTTTTTGTGAACAGTAATATCTTTCTGAAATATGAAAAACTTTATCGAATTCTATTTCCATACTTTCAACTTTTTCATTCTGAACTTTGATTTTATAATCAAAGAAATAATACAGTTTCAGGGAAGTTACTTTACAGTTCCACTAAAATCATTTCTTTTAACTTGGTTCAAAAGAAAAGTTTTTCGGTATAAAAAGAATATTATTGGTGTTCTGAATGTACCAAAGCACAACTTCTGCTTGAAGAGCAAAGTTAAGAAACCTTCTGCAATTCAGAAACAACTGGCAATTGAAGAATTTGAAATACTGTAAAAAGAAAAAAAATTTCACACTTGGAAATGAAAATATCTAGTTTTAAAGACCCTTATTTGGAGTCCTATAAGTTTGGTCATGTGTCAAAATTTGCTTTATTAACAATCACTCTTGACTCCTTTTTGACCATCAGCTAATTTTTCTGATGGGTAAAATGAAGGAAAAGTCGAAAAATGTATCTGCTGGAATTATACAGATATTCATAAAACCTATTTTACCCTGGTATTGGACGATACCAAGGAAATAGAATACCCAATAATGGTAACTTGCAAGATTTGTGTGTTAAAATTACACCATGGAAATCACTGGTATCAACTATCAAAATCAGCACTGAAATCAAATATTGATAAAAAGTAATCTGGTTGGCAACATCTATCTCTATAAAACCTATCTCTCTATATCTATCTATCTCCATACATTCCTATCTACCTATCTCTCTATATCTATCTATCTCCATGCATTCCTATCTACCTATCTCTATAATCTATCTATCTCCATGCATTCCTATCTACCTATCTCTCTATATCTATCTATCTCCATGCATTCCTATCTACCTATCTCTCTAATCTATCTATCTCCATGCATTTTATATCTACCTATATCTATCTATCTCCATGCATTCCTATCTACCTATCTCTCTATATCTATCTATCTCCATTTCCTATCTACCTATCTCTCTATATCTATCTATCTCCATACATTCCTATCTATCTATCTATCTATCTATCTCCATGCATTCCTATCTACCTATCTCTCTATATCTATCTATCTCCATGCATTCCTATCTACCTATCTCTCTATATCTATCTATCTCCATGCATTCCTATCTACCTATCTCTCTCTATATCTATCTATCTCCATGCATTCCTATCTACCTATCTCTCTATATCTATCTATCTCCATGCATTCCTATCTACCTATCTCTCTATATCTATCTATCTCCATGCATTTCTATCTACCTATCTCTCTATATCTATCTATCTCCATGCATTCCTATCTACCTATCTCTATATCTATCTATCTCCATGCATTCCTATCTACCTATCTCTCTATCTATCTATCTCATACATTCCTATCTACTCTCTCTATCTATCTATCTCCATGCATTCCTATCTACCTATCTCTCTATATCTATCTATCTCCATGCATTCCTATCTATCTCTCTCTATATCTATCTATCTCCATGCATTCCTATCTACCTATCTCTCTATATCTATCTATCTCCATGCATTCCTATCTACCTATCTCTCTATATCTATCTATCTCCATGCATTCCTATCTACCTATCTCTCTATATCTATCTATCTCCATGCATTCCTATCTACCTATCTCTCTATATCTATCTATCTCCATGCATTCCTATCTACCTATCTCTCTATATCTATCTATCTATCATTCCTATCTACCTATCTCTCTATTCTATCTATCTCCATGCATTCCTATCTACCTATCTCTCTATATCTATCTATCTCCATGCATTCCCTATCTACCTATCTCTCTATATCTATCTATCTCCATGTTCCTATCTACCTATCTCTCTATATCTATCTATCTCCATGCATTCCTATCTACCTATCTCTCTATATCTATCTATCTCCATGCATTCCTATCTACCTATCTCTCTATATCTATCTATCTCCATGCATTCCTATCTACCTATCTCTCTATATCTATCTATCTCCATGCATTCCTATCTACCTATCTCTCTATATCTATCTATCTCCATGCATTCCTATCTACCTATCTCTCTATATCTATCTATCTCCATGCATTCCTATCTACCTATCTCTCTATATCTATCTATCTCCATGCATTCCCTATCTACCTATCTCTCTATATCTATCTATCCCCATGCATTCCTATCTACCTATCTCTCTATATCTATCTATCCCCATGCATTTCTATCTACCTATCTCTCTATATCTATCTATCTCCATGCATTCCTATCTACCTATCTCTCTATATCTATCTATCTCCATGCATTCCCTATCTACCTCTATATCTATCTATCTATCTCCATGCATTCCTATCTACCTATCTCTCTATATCTATCTATCTATCTCCATGCATTCCTATCTACCTATCTCTCTATATCTATCTATCTATCTCCATGCATTCCTATCTACCTATCTCTCTATATCTATCTATCTATCTCCATGCATTCCTATCTACCTATCTCTCTATATCTATCTATCTATCCCATGCATTCCTATCTACCTATCTCTCTATATCTATCTATCTATCCCAATCTACCTATCTCTCTATATCTATCTATCTATCTCCATGCATTCCTATCTACCTATCTCTCTATATCTATCTATCTCCATGCATTCCTATCTACCTATCTCTCTATATCTATCTATCTATCTCCATGCATTCCTATCTACCTATCTCTCTATATCTATCTATCTATCTATCTCCATGCATTCCTATCTACCTATCTCTCTATATCTATCTATCTATCCCAGTGCATTCCTATCTACCTATCTCTCTATATCTATCTATCTCCATGCATTCCTATCTACCTATCTCTCTATATCTATCTATCTATCCCAGTGCATTCCTATCTACCTATCTCTCTATATCTATCTATCTATCCCAGTGCATTCCTATCTACCTATCTCTCTATATCTATCTATCTATCCCAGTGCATTCTATCTACCTATCTCTCTATCTATCTATCTATCCCAGTGCATTCCTATCTACCTATCTCTCTATATCTATCTATCCCAGTGCATTCCTATCTACCTATCTCTATATCTATCTATCTATCCCAGTGCATTCCTATCTACCTATCTCTCTATATCTATCTATCTATCCATTCCTATCTACCTATCTCTCTATATCTATCTATCTATCCCAGTGCATTCCTATCTACCTATCTCTCTATATCTATCTATCTATCCCAGTGCATTTTATCTACCTATCTCTCTATATCTATCTATCTATCCCAGTGCATTCCTATCTACCTATCTCTCTATATCTATCTATCTATCCCAGTGCATTCCTATCTACCTATCTCTCTATATCTATCTATCTATCCCAGTGCATTCCTATCTACCTATCTCTCTATATCTATCTATCTATCCCAGTGCATTTCCTATCTACCTATCTCTCTATATCTATCTATCTATCCCAGTGCATTCCTATCTACCTATCTCTATATCTATCTATCTATCCCAGTGCATTCCTATCTACCTATCTCTCTATATCTATCTATCTATCCCAGTGCATTCCTATCTACCTATCTCTCTATCTATCTATCTATCCAGTGCATTCCTATCTACCTATCTCTCTATATCTATCTATCTATCCCAGTGCATTCCTATCTACCTATCTCTCTATATCTATCTATCCCAGTGCATTCCTATCTACCTATCTCTATATCTATCTATCTATCCCAGTGCATTCCTATCTACCTATCTCTCTATATCTATCTATCTATCCCAGTGCATTCCTATCTACCTATCTCTCTATATCTATCTATCTATCCCAGTCATTCCTATCTACCTAATCTATCCCAGTGCATTCCTATCTACCTATCTCTCTATATCTATCTATCCCAGTGCATTCCTATCTACCTATCTCTCTATATCTATCTATCTCAGTGCATTCCTATCTACCTCTCTCTCTATCTATCTCAGTGCATTTCTATCTATCTCTCTCTGTATGTGTGTTGATAATATGTGAAAAACAACACATAAAATTTTCTATATCAAGAACAATTTTATGGAAAAAAAAATAAATTGGAAAAAGGTTTTGTGTTGACTTTAGGACTTCATCAGACTAAAGTAATGTTTATGTGACTACACATGTGCATGAACAAAAAGACGACGGTCAGAATTTTAAATTGAAATTTATCTTTTTAAATGTATGTTTTCAGTATATAATCTAGTGAATTTCATTTAATTTCTTTTTGTTTGTGTTTCTATCACTTATTTTTGGATGTTTATTAACAAAATTGGTGAAAAAAAAAAAGAAAAACTAAATGAAATAGTCTAGACTACCCAAAACCTATTTTAAAAAAATTAAATTTAAAATTCTCAGTATCCCTTTTACCATCATGTGCATATGTAGCCACATCACTTTAGTCCAATGAATTCCTAAAGAATGAAATATGTCACAAATTTTTTTTACACCTTGTCATTTTTTTAGTGGGCAGTTTGGTGGAGGATTATGATTAAGGATCATAGTCTGGTGGATCATTACTACTGAGTAGAGAGTTCATTGGGTGCTCCATAGAAAATTTGAGTCCCAATAACCCAACAAGTGTTGGTATGTTGCAAAGTCAGCCAACCGACCAACTAAGTGATGGTAATTTTAGCTGTTTCCTTATAAGGAAATATTCAGCATTCAAGCAGCCTTTTTTTTTTATTGTAATTTATAAAATCTTTCTATTAAAACAATTTTGGGGGAAAATAGGTTCCTCAATTTCACTAACTGTAATAGCTATTTCCAGTATTTATGTGGACTTCCTTCCTAAACTTTTGTTTGAAATAATGTGGAATGTTGATATCTTGATTATGTCATTATATTGAGCTACATATGAAATAACACATCTCAGCATGTGGCAATGTTTAACAAGGCTGATGTTGTTGACCATTACTATAGAGTAGTTAGTCTAATTCTTACTGGATGTCTCATAAGAATTCTACAATTAATAACCCAACAAATGGTTGATATGTTGTAAAACCTACCAACAAACTTATCCTAATCAAGACCAAATATTCTGGGGTAGTACTTCATGGAAACAATCTGTGGGTACCATTTCAGGGAAACAATCTGTGTGTACCATTTCAGGGAAAGATTCTGAGAGAGCATTTCATGAAATGATTCTGGGAGAGCATTTCATCAGAGGAATTACCATAATTTCAAAAGGGATTCCCAGCAAGCAGAAAATTTTGAAGAAATGATGTTGAAGTTGTCATAATTAAAAAGGAGAATCAGGAAGCAATTAAGAACATAAATATAATTCATGGAATGCCTTGTCAGACACAAACTGAAAAGGTGTTGGCTGAATTCACCGATAAAGTTAATGACCCATGCTGGCACAACTCCAGGCAGTAAGACCTCAAACACCTAATTTCTGGCCAAATGATTTGGGAATAGAAATTTTCTTTGGTACCAATGAAGTGTGATGCTTTTAGTATTTATTTGTAGTATATTTTTTTTTTTAAAAGATAGCCTACTTCTTTTATGTGCCATCTCCCTTCAAGATATGAGTAATCATGGCTCTCCACAATTTCCTGCTTTTGTTGCTCTAACAAATGTTTAATATGTTATCTCTGTGTACTTGTTCTGCCATCCATTTACACAAACTTGCTAAATAGGTTACTCACTGTTTTTTTACTATTTCTCACACGTTCAGTATGTCTACTTAGTGTTAAATTCTGCAGGCCTTCTTTTCTCATAATATATCTTAGAAATTTTAACTGTCTCTTGCTGATTATAAGTATAGGTTTTCTTGTAATATCTACTTTCCTTAAAAATTCTACAGGGCCCCATACATGTTCTGTCAATGCTATTCTTAGCATTCATATGCAGAATTACGTCTTTGTCACTTCAAATCTCTTCATCAGCCTAGTTTAAATTAAAATTTCAGCTAGTCAGAGATTTAATCTGAAATCTTGAGAGGAAGCATAGATATTATTTAAAAATAATTAGCATAATTATCCCTATCATTGTTGTTTTTATCCTTACTGATGATTTTCTTAAGTTTTGTGTCTCATATAATATTGAGTGTTGAGTGGTATTTTATGTTATTGTTTTTAAGACAGCTAATAAAAATGATAAACTAAAAATCTGCTTAGTACTACCGAGGATAGGAAGCTGTGCAATTTTGAGTGCTATTATTGCTACTACTATTATTGTGTGTGTGAGAGAGAGAGAGAGAGATCTGTTATCTTTGCAAGCCCTGGACCTTGTGGCTGGAAATTTTTGTTCCAATCCGAGTTCATAGAGAACCATCTGTTGTGACTGTGGAGGTTTACATGGAAATTATTATCTCAGCGGCAGTGATTGTCTCTAAAAGAAGCAATTCTCTACTATTGTTTTAGTGCTGTTTATCTCTGCACATTTAACTATCTGCCCAAGCTTCTTTTAGATTGGAGACAGAAAGAAACACAAAGTCAAAGACCAAATGACAAAAAAATGGTTTTTAAGTCAGAGGATTGCTCATTGTTCCAGTTTAAAAAAATAATGCTTTGAAAATAAATATTTAACATTTTTCAACCAATGGGTTGCATTCTCACCAATAATAAAAAAATTAAGCATGGTTTCCAGACAGACAATGAAGAAGGGGAGACAACTGACAACAGGTCACATTTCTTTTCATCTTAATAACAGCTACAAGGAATTTAGTGACAATTCTAAGAACTTTAACCCGAAAACATGCTAAGAAAAATTTAGTTGTAAAAAAAAAAAAACAAACGAAAAAAAAAAACACCAAAATAAAATTTCAGCCTACAATGATATTGTCTACTGTAATGTTCCTTCTATACATTACAACATTCATTTCTATGACATGTCTCTCTTGCAGAGGTCTTAGTAAGATGGGTACATCTTTCTGCTCTGTTTGGGATACTTCAGTATCCTGATAACTTTGTGTACTACTATTACTACAACTACTATTATGAGGCAGTTAATGAATTGGAAGTAATAATTGAAAAAAGTTATCTCCCCCGAGAAGAACTCTCCTTTAATAAACAATAAACCTGGCATTCATTTACAGACCAGTTATCATTGCAGTGAAAATGTTGCTGGGTACTAGTATGTTTAGGTAGAAATAAATCAACATTACATTGTGGGTAACATCTCTGGTTGTGATGTGTAGAGACATTTTATATTAAATATTTACAGGTTCCTGGAATATTTATCCCACAAACAATATTGGTGGACTCAATGAGTCTGGGTAAAAATAAGAAACACAAAACAATGAATTTAAAACAATGCATGTTATTAACACAAGGAATTACTTAAAACTAGCTATGCGAATGTGCTTGTATGTGATAGATGCATGTGAGAGTTCAAAAATCAACAAAGACCAAAGAAGTGAATTGCCCTGAGTGGCAGCATTCCTTATCTATGTCAATTACATCTGGAAGTAAGAGCTAAAAAAGAGGAAGAGAGAATATAACTGCCTTTTTATAGACTTCAAGTGCATCCCCGAGTGACCCACAAATATATGAAGGCAGTGACTGTATGATTAGAGATAAAACAACCTCTAGTCACAGTAGTTAAAATTGTATATGCATTGATAAATGAGGTAAAAAAATGCTTGTGATATTCTGGCAGATACATAATATTTGCATTTAAGAATCTTTCACTAATAATATGGCTTATGACTATATAACATTAAAACACCAGTTCTTGTACAATCACCGTAGTTAAGAATGCCAAACCCAGTCAGCACCTAGAGGAGTGATCTCTTGACAATACTAGGTGCTGTAAGCTTGGATGCATAATTGTGATACAATAAATTATGGCTCAGAATTGGAAATCAAAGATTCAGGTTTCAATCCTAGTTGGGTTCATTATATTCACTTACCCCAGGGAAAGGTATGAATCTACCTCTTCTCCCAGATACAGGTTAACTAGTTGAACTTTTAACAATAAATCATTATTATCACCAAAAATTCTTACAATCTAAAGATGGCTTCTGGCTTTAAATAACTTGCGAAAGGTTGATATTCAGAAAAAGAAAGCCAATCAATATATTATCATATATATTAATAAAATTAAAATTATAATATAATTTTCTATGATTGTTTTTTATATTTTTTTTAATCACAACAAAAATAAGGTAATAGCCTTCAATGAGATCAGAACTCAGATCTTGTATGATCTGGAGACTATTTGATATAGACAATGTTTTTTTTTGATTTGACAGCAAACTTTATTAAGATTAAAAATTCAAATTTAATTATATAACTGCACTGTTTCTTTGATTTTCTTTGTCATTGTTTGTTCATACCTTGTAGTCATAGATATTGTCCAAAGTTAACTAGATGTCTTTGAAGAAACATTTTTTTATTTATTAATTTTTAACTAGTTTTGCTTTAATCTTATTTTTGTTGCATTTTTTTATGATTATACTCATCTGAATAATTCATGTAATATTTGTCAGAACTTGATTATTCTGACAATTCTTTTTCTCCAAGCAAGATGATCTTATAAATATACATATAAAATACAAAATATTTTCATATTGGGTGAAATGATAGTTGATATTGAAAAAAAAAATCTAAAATGACATCTTTGATGAAGAGACTTTTAAACTGAGAAATCTATGTAAACTTATATATGTATGCTTGCTTCAGTGGAAAATTTATTGGTCTTGCAAGCTGTTGATAGTGACACTATTGTTTTGTACTGCAGCAAAGCAAACTATATTAAAAGAAGAAAAAAAAAAACAATTATCAAAAAATTACCTATACCATCAAACAATCATGACAATATTTAACTAATTTTACAATAGCAAATTGATTATATTTCTATATGAGAAATCTAGCTTTTTATCTATAAAATTAATACTCTTATTGCAAGTAAGAGAGAATTCTTCATTTAAAATCATTAATGCAGTATTCTCCTGTGTCAGTTTAAACTGACAACTTCTTTTTATCCATATATTGTGACCATTTTATTAAAAGGGTATTTTTTTAATTTCAAATAAAAACTTGGAAAATATCCAA